ATAGAGAGATAGAGAGAGAGGGTGTGTAGGTAGGTAGATAAGTAGAGAGAGAGAAATAGAAAGAGATAGAGAGGGAGAAATACAGTAGATGGGTAGGGGGGAGAGAGATTAGTTAGGTAGGTAGGTAGATAAAGGGAGAGAGAGGGAGGGAGAGAAATACAGTAGGTAGTTAGGGAAAGAGTGTGTGTAGATAGGTAGGTAGAGGGTTAGAGAGAGAAAAATAGAGAGAAATACAGTAGATAGGTATGGAGAGAGAGAGTAATTAGGTAGGTAGGTAGATAAAGGGATAGAGAAAGCAAAATAGAGAAATACAGTAAGTAGGTAGGTGTTTCTGCTGGCACAGGACTTGATCAATGTAATTCTCATCATTAAAGAGCTTTCCAAAAGGAAAAAAAAAGTTTTTTGCAAATGAGCAAAAAACGGGCCCGTTTCACCCCCCAAAAAGGCACGAATAGCCTTATGGAAGCTTATAGAGTGCTGCTGGGGACTGGATGGGGAAACAGCCCGTTTTTTGCTCATTTCTGCCCTCCCCAGACCCCTCTGAAAGCCTCCATAAGGGTATGCACGGCCATTTTGGTGAAGGGGCAGGGCTTCAGGAGACAAAAAATGCTGTATTCGGTATATAAGATGCACTCAGATTTTCAGCCTCTTTTTTGAGGAAAAAAGGTGTCTTATACTCCGAAAAATACAGTAAGCCACTTTAAGTTCAGAAACCAGGAGACTGAATTCTAGGCCTCCCTTATGCATAAAAAATGGTTAAGTAACTTTGCACCAGGCACTTCTTCTCAGCCCAACCCACCTCATAGGGGTAATTGTTGTGGGAAAGCAGGAAGCAAGGCTTCTAGGTATGTTCATCCCCTTGATTTTATCAAATATAACAAGGTAGGATAATGACATAAATATGTAATATAAAACATTAAACTATACTTTTATAATTATAGTCCTATGCATTTTCAGATTTTTTTAAAAAAATTACTTTGATAACCACAGAACATTTAATTTGTAATAATGCTAATATAAATAATAGCCTGACAAGGCTGTGTATTTTTATTACATCAAGTATATTTGTGATCTAATAAATATTTAAGATTTTAAAAACTATCATTCTATGAAAAAGCTAATACTGCCACAGTCTTATCAGATTACATCACTCACAATTTAATTTAAATGTACCATATAGTTCCAGTCTCTGAATTTGTTAGTTGACATTTTTAGTAATAAAACTCCATCTAGTGGTCACATTCAATAATGGAGTGAAATGGTATTCAGGCACCAGTAAATAAGCTATCAAATTTTATACACTAAACCAGAGTTGTGGTATATCGTTATAGTTAAGCACAATAAAAACAATAAAATCACAACACAATATAAGCCACAGCAACATTAGGACAATGTAATACTTAATTTTAAAATTTTAGTTAAACTCAGCACAACCACAATTTAATGAGTATATAATTAATTTTAAAAATGAGTCAATTACATTTTAGCAACAATTATGAATTTTTATGTCTCCTAGTGCTGTGTTACTTATTCTAGTGCTTTTTAAACTAAGATATTATTTTCAATGATTAATAAAAATGGAGAACTTTTTGTATTATTTGAGACCAATGGAAATAGTAGTTCTGCACACCATAGTTTTTTTTTTAAAAAAATCTAATAAATGCCATCAGTGTGATGCATAGTTAAGAAGTGCACTAGGCAACGAAAGACCAGTGTCTCAATAAGTGACATTAAGTCAGTTACTCCCTCTTAGCCCAGGGTTGTTTTGTGGGGGAAAAAGGAGGACCTCTTAAGCTGCTGAAATAAAGGCAGAATATAAATCAAATAGATTACATATATAATAAAACTTCTCTTCTTAACTGGGGTTCTTGACACTTATGAGTAACTTAAAATTATAGTAAAACTAATCATAAACAAGTTGTCTCCACATTTCAAGAGTGTAACTTGAAACATAATTAATCAAAAGTTTTGGAAAGATTGGGCAAAGATTGATTGGGCCAATGGATATGTCAAGCTGGGACTTGGATGCAGCAATGAGAGGAGGAGGGTAGATGATGCAAAGAGTTGGAAAAATCAATGATTTTGGAATTTGGTTGACAAAATGTAACTGGCTCAAAACAGTTTAGCAACATTTTTGGAATGCAATGATTTTCTCCTAGGTTGGAGGTAGTTTGGTGTAGTGGTTAAGACATAAGGCTAAAAATTGGAAAATGTGAGTTCTAGTTCCGCCTTAGTCATGAAGCCAACTGGCTGACATTGAGCCAGTCACTCTTTCTCAGTCCCTCGGAAAAAAGTAACGGCAAGCCACTTCTGAAATTTTGCCAAGAAAACTGCAGGGACCTCTCTAGGTAGTCACTAGGAGTCAACATTGACTCAAACAAACAAACAAATCATGCAGAACATATATCTCATACATATTCCAACATTTAAAGGAGGATACCTCTGTCTAACTTTACTTTAACCAAAGAAAAAAATTGTCCCTGTGGAAGAAATGCAATTAAGTAATTCTGGCAAATATTCCATTAAAAGTCAAGTGGGACTCCCAGGATTTTTCCATTTCAAGAGAATCTTAGCTTCCGATGGAACTCACCCTAAAAAAAAACCTTATTCCTGATTCACTCCTTTCTGAAGCATACAACTTAATGCTAGGTTTTGGTATTATCCTTCACTCCAAACACACTCTAACATGCCTATCTACAAAGCCATCTAAACAAGGTTCTTTTCAAAATTCCCTAAAGTTGCATTATCTACAACAATTCCACCTGTCATACCTGGGTGAAATATTTTCCATCAGGTTTCAAGACTCTCATTGAAAGGTCCAGAATCATTCGTAGAAACTCCCATGTAGAATCTAAATTTAAACGTACTAATTATTTAATTAGAAATTAAATAATTCATAAATGTTAAGTGATGAGTACCACTATAATTTGCAACATCAGTGGATTCATGTTTGATTTTTAGGATACTCTGTAAATATAAAGGCATGGAACTTCCATTAAACATTTTAATAAATATAGAACAATTATTTAAAAAACAATTTCCAGCATTGCAGAAAAATCTATCAATAATTTGTAGGTGTGAGGGCCAATAATGCTTTTTTTCTCCATACCCCTAATATGCACACCTTATAAAACTATATTTCACATATACACTTACCTGTTCTCTCTCTCTAGTTTAAGTTACTCAACTACAAAAAAGATTTTCAGAAGATATGATTGACAATAAATCTGCAAGGGAATGCATAACAACATCTTGCAAAAGAATGCAATTGAAGGGCCACCCCCCTTCACCCCCAGCCACCCACATCAGCCTATTTATAGCCAGTTTTCCTCCTCCGCTGACCTCCCATGGCTATTCTACACAGCCAATGGGCCCCTTGCCCATTTGCCCAGACTCTCTTTGATCCGGGCCTTTGGCTGCATGGGACAAATAGCCCCAAGCCAATCAGGTGGCTGGCAGAAGCAAAGGGGCTGCAGGGGCAGCGTGCAGATTGCAGGGGCTGGAGCACATGCAATTCAAGATTTTATTTTAAAAGTACCACGGCTACTCCTCAAGTTTTAGGGCCTTACACATCTGTCATCAGGACTGGAGGGAGGGGGAATGGTAGTGTGAGTAGCAGAACCAGCGCAGCTTCAGGCACTGTGGGGAGGGGACGGTGGCTGAGGATGCAGCAGGTGAACAGCAAGGCCGGTGCAGTTTCTGTGATTGCAGGAGGCATGGAGGATGCAGGAGAATGGCAAGGCTGGCATGGCTTGTGCAATTGCAGTGGGCATGGGGGAGGGCCACAGGTGAATGGCAAGGTCAGTGCAGATTATGCAATTGCAGGGAAGATGGGGGGGCGGTGGCAGGTGATTGGAGGTGGCATGCGGCTTGGGGGAGCCGTGCCATTTACACTCCAGCCTGATGCCTATCAGACAGTTCGGCTGCAACCAAGCCATGGACCATGTCCGTTCATCTGCCGCAACCCCCCAGCCTCCTGTAATTGCATAAGCCGTGCCAGCCTTGTTGTTTGCCTGTGCCCCTCCCCCATGCTCAATTGTAGAAGCTGCGGCAGCATTGCTATTCACCTGCCACAGCCCCCCCCCCCAGCTTTCCCCACATTGCCAAAAGCTACACAGGCCTTGTTCCTTTGCCCCACGTTTATTGGAGCTGAGCTGCAAGCCAAGCTACTTTTGGGAAGGCCCCTTGAGACACCCTTCCTTCCCTCCCTCCCTCGTCCCTCCAACATACTCTTGCCTGTCTTCCCCCTCCCCAGTGACCCTGGGGCGGCTACTCCCACCACCCCTCCTCCTTCTAGTCCTGGTGACAGATCTGCAAGGCTCCAAAACCTGCGGAGCAGTCACAGTACTTTTAAAAATAATCTTGCATCACATGCTGCCCCTCCTAGCGCCAGTTATTGCCCATCACACGCAGATTGCTTCTGCCTGCCACTTGATTTGCTGGGGAGCCAAAGGCCCAGGTCAAATGGTGTCTGGGAGAATGGGCAGGAACGAACGGCAGGGGCCCATTGGCCATGGAAGGGCCAGCGGAGGAGGAAAACTGGATGTAAATGGGCTGAAGTGGGTGGTTGGGGGCAAAGATGGTGTGGCCAAGGGTCCATGCCTAAACATTCCATTCCTATCTTTGCATACTGCACACTAACCACTGTTGGGAGATGTCTAGTCCTCCCTTCAGATTTTCCACTAGAACCTATGGAGGCTGGAGTAAGTCTGTTGAAAACAGATCTGCATAAATAGACAATTCTCTTCCCCAATTTGAGCTTTCTACTTATTCAGAAAAATGCCCCCAAAGTATTATTTTTAATAGGAAAATACAGAAGAAATACAATATAAGTTTAAAAAACAACCTTCTTCTGGAGATGTGGAGATTGGAATAGCTGTCAAGTCGTTAATTACATAATCAAACATTCTTTCTTCTTTGGCATATCTCTTCAGGACTGGGATACAATCTTCTATTAGTACCTAAAAAAGTAGTAACATTTTGTCTGCTTAACATAATAATGATGTCCATAAGGTGACTAACTAGCACTTTCTGTAGTAGTCATGATGAATGAAGTAACCCAACTCTTCATCAATTTAACTGTTCTGTCACCCACAAAATCATGAACTAGTATCCATGTAAGGCCTCTTATAGATCTACATTGTTCAGAGATTTGTTCTTTATATTCAAGACAGCTTAAGTCTTGATTACAGTCTTGATTGAAGTTGGCGGCAACAGAGGAAGCATAGTTACATCACAGGCATAAAAGTTGCTACTAAAATTTTAAAAAAACAGTAGGAGGAGAGGTGGTGAGGGAAAAATAAGTCTTAGAAAAAGAAAAAAGACTGGAGAAAGGAAAATGAGAGGAAGATTGGAGAAATTAAAAAGAGAAGGCCAGCTGCACCCAAGAGGTCTACCCAAGAGACCAAGGCCCATCAAAGTGAGGCAAGCGAAGAGACAAACCAACTGCAGGCAGCAAAGCCAACCAGTGAAGAATAAAGAGGCGAGCCAGTGTGTGAGTGGAGCCAGCTATGAAGCAGGGAGGAAAAACAGCTGTGGAACAGAGAGAGGAGGGGGCCGAGGACAGTGCAACGATCGGCAGAGAAGAAAGAGGCAAGCTGGTGAGACAGCAGAGCAGAGCAGAGAGGAGGAGGAGGAGAACTTGCTGTGGATCATCAAGCCAATGAGAGAACAGAGCAGGAAGGAAGGAAGAGAAGAGAGACAAGTTTGCTGGGGAATATCAGGTAGCCCTGTTTGCTGGTGAAAGCAGCATCCCTGGTGCAATGGACAGCAAATGGAAGCCATGTGGCTTCAGGGCAAAAAAGCAACGGCAGAGCAACAGGGAGGAGAGAGAGCCAGCAGCAGTACGAGGCAGCAGAGTGAGCTAGAGCCTGAGAGCAGCGGGAGCAATGGAGAAAGCGATGGTGAGATGGAAAAAAGTGAGAATTAACATAAAAATGTTACAAGATGCAAGAATTAGAGGAGGGTTTGGACTGGGAATTATATTACCAGACAGCAGCACCATCATGGATGAAAGAATGGATTGTATTGAGAAAAACAAGGTTATTGACATTGGAGGGACATGATTTACAACTAGGTTGGCATGTGTTTTTATGGTATGGGAAAAATAAGATACATAGTTATTTTCAGAGTCATTATGTAAGAAATGCTTTATTATTAGTATGGAGAAAGTTAGAGAAAAACATTATTTGAAAATACCAATGTGGCTTTCAACAATGGAAGCATTAATATATCCAAACCTTATTAAGATGGAAAATAGTATTAAGTATAAAGACATTCTATCAGAAAAGGAAGAATTGAAACAGAAACAAGAGATAAAAGAATAAGGGATTTATATGGTTTGGTATACACAATTGCAAATACAATTGAGATATGAAAAGGATGCTAGGTTGTATGGTTTTTACTTGGAATTGACAGAACTGGATGAAATACTCATAGGAACAGAAGACCGAATGATCAAAAAACTGTATAATTATCTATTATGTATTAAATTAGAAGAACAGGTAAAAGAAACAATGATAGCGTGGGCAAAAACCTTTGGATATATGATAGAGCTAAATAAGTGGCAGCAATCAGAGGAAAGGAATTATACATTAACAATGGCAACAACATATAAAGAGAACATGTATAAAATGTTTTATAGATGGCATATGTCACCGGAAAGATTGGCAAAAATGTTTAAAGACAAATCAACCAAGTGTTGGAAATGCCATCAGACACTGGGGATCGTATTATCATATCTGGTGGACATGTGCAGAAGTGAGAAAGTATTGGGCAAACATTCGCATGTGGTTGGAGAAGATGACACATCAACATATTGATTTAAAACCAGAGTTGTTTTTGTTGGGTATTTTACCAGAGAAATATAGTAAAGAGAATGTATACTTGATTATTCACGTAATAACTGCAGCTAGAATTGTATTTGCACAAAATTGGAAAATGGAAAAAATCCCTTCAGAGGGAGAGGTGATTAAGAAAATATTAGACTGTGCAGAAATAAATAGATTAACATTGGCAATTAAAGGGAAGGAAGAATCGGAATACTAAAATATATGTGGGAGATTTTATCACTGGGTAAAAATAAATAAAATAAAAAATAAATATCGACAAAAATAGATATAAAATTAAATAAGTTGGGAAACAAAGCAGATTTATAGGGGAGAAGATGAATTGAAATGTAATTGAAATAGAAAGGCAAATGGAAAGATAAAATTATATTTAAAATGATAGTACATGTTAAATATGACACAAAACTGTACTCAGATGACACTGTTTGATAAAAGATGTAAGATTTGTTTAAATAAAAAAATTAAATTTAAAAAAGAAACTGGTTATTGGATTGTGGACTTGAAGGATTGGAGGAAATCTAGTGGATTAATTTGGATTTGGATTATTAATGTTATTTGACAGAACATTCTATGAGGCAAAAGAAGAAAAATGATAGAAGAAAAGAGAAAAGAAAAGTTAAATAGGTTTAAAATTTGGACAATTGGGAAGACAAATAACTGGAAAACCAAAAGGCTGTAAAATACTAAAGAACTTTAAAGATGATAAATTTAGGAGATTTGGAGGTATAACAATGGATTGAGCAAATCCTATTAATAATTGGCATTATTTGGCAATAATGTTGGAGTTTTTAAATATTGAGACGCTGAAACCATAGAGGTATATTGAGTAATTTCTATCAGATCGTTATAAAATGAATTATCAGGGGATAATAGAAGTATATGAAGAAATAATTTTGATGCTCAAAAGCATGCACGAAATTATAAAGAACAATAAGGAGACAAGGGGATTGTCTAAAGATAAAAAATGATTGTAGAAGTCTTTCAACAACTGGGGGAAAAAGATGAACATGATATTCAAAATACAGATGAGAAATTGGAAGAAGCAGTAGAAGAGAAAAATTTAAATGAGATGCAAGAAGATAAAGATAATGAAGAGAAAGGATTGATAAGTGGAAATCAAATAGATAATTCCTTTATTATAGAACAGAGAGAAAAAAATTGCTTTTTTTAAAAAAGAGAAAGATTTATTGATGGGTGCTCAAATGATACAGCAGAAAGAAACAAAGGACAACCCAAAGGAAATATTCAGTGGGTATAAAAATATCAAAAAAAAGTTATAAAATTCTAAGAGAGAGAAATAAAGGGGTGATTAAAAAGTCAACAAATGATGGAACTCCAAAAATATTAAGAGATGATGGATAGTGATAAAATATGTTAATAAAATGGAAAAGTAGAAAATACAAATAGGGAAATAGTAGCATATATACTAACAGATAATAGAATTTATTAGAAGGTGAAAATTTAGGAGTATGTAATCTAATTGTATTATTAATATTAACAGTGTGTTAAAATATATTATGAATTTAAACTTTTAAGGATTAGAAATTGTGGAGGCTTTGAGATATAATCCTGGGATTGTTTAAATTTTGTTAATATTTATCCTTATTAGTAGTCCTAGACATTTGGGATATTAAAATTATGGTGGGATAATGAGTAATTTTTAAAATATTAAATATTAGTGATTTAGAAGGGGATAACAAATATATGGTGAAATAAATGTTATTTATGTTTAAGTGAATTAATGGGAAAATGATAATTATAAAGAGAGAATGGTATTGTTGAAGTTGGAAGATTAGGATTATGCATACTTATTTGTATTATTATTGTTAGCAATGTTTAAAAAGGACATTGATCCAGTCGATACACTGTCCACAAATATGTATGGTGTGAAAGGAAAACTGCAAATAAAACATGAATTAAAATAATAATAATAAATAATAAGCCAAATCTTAAATAATAAGATAGGGGGAACTGGAGCTCAAAAACTTTTTACAAATATAAGGAAGAGATGGTTAAATAAAACTAACATAATAGTAAACAAGTAAAATAAATAACAAGGTATAAAAACAAGCACAAAAAGGCAGAAAAAAGGATAGAAAAAAGATACAAAACTTTTTACCCTTAAAAGAACCAGCAAAAAAAACAAACTCATGGAACAGGTGACTGATACTATTGTAGTATGCAATATATGTTCCATGTATGTACTTATGCTCAAAGAACACCCAAATTACACATGCATTAAATGTAAGCTATGTGAACTCCTAGAAGAAAAAGTAAGGGATCTAGAGACAACTCTAGCCAAATTCCAACCTATGCAAGAAAGCTATACCCAAATCAAACTAAATAATGAACAAATAACTCCCAGAAGATTTGACCCTGCTGATAAACCTTTGGAGGAAGACAAATGGAGGTATGTCATACATAGAAAACACAATAATCAAAGAAAGAACAGCACACATCTAACAAATCCTTGTTGCCCAATCTAACCCAATCAGAAGCAGTCCCATTAAAACTGAGCAACCAATTGCTCCCTCTATTTGAAAATACTCAAACCCACAACCTCCCACTCAAAGAAAACATGCAAACACTTAGAAAAGAGACATCACCCAATACCCATAAAGAATTTGTGCATTAGGGGTTAAGTAGGATGGTCTGTACATTCAAGGAAGGCAGGAGAATGGTTGTGTATGAACACTTACACCTTGCCTGATGGTGTATTGTCCTCTAGCAAACAGTATTTCATACCCTTGACTGTCTAACCTGGGTTGTCTCAAAATAGTCACACTGTGCACACTCTGACAGGAAACACACACTAGTAATGGGGGACTTCAGCTACCCTGACATCAATTGGAAGACTAATTCTGCACCAAGTGAGAAATTGAATAGGTTCCTGACCAACCTAGCTGACAACTTTGTTGTTCAAAAGGTAGAGGAGGGAACTAAAGGGTAAGCCATACTGGACTTAATTCTTACAAACAGAGAAGAAGTGATAAGAGGGAGTTGAAACTACAGGAACCTTGGATGAGAGGGACCATGTCATACTAGAATTTAACATAACACAAATATAAGCAATAAAACATAATGACTTCTGGTTGCAGCTATGGCGAGAACTACTGGAAAATAGTAGGATCTGCTGAGCCCTGTGAAATCCAGCCAGTAACCGCTGCAGGGAGACTCCCTTCGGGGTCATAGACTCCTTGGAGGGGAGGTGAACGGAGGAGAGGCACTTCGCTGGCCACGAGGAACTCGTAAATTCCTCATTAGGTCCAAAGCTAGGTCTCCCAAACAGCAGCAGGCATGACCGCCATTGCTGGCAATCACGAAGCTGGGACAATAGGGACCCAAGATTTGTACAGGAGCAATGTATGGACAGAACATTGATAATTACCAACTTTTACTCTAATGACTTGCAATAACAGAAAGAATATGAAAAGAAAATTCCTAAGCTTAAAATAGCAGCGAATTAACAACAGAGAAAAAAATACCGGAAACGAAGAGGTGAAAAAAGCCCAAGAGAAGCTATAAAATACAGAAAGCTTGGAAAGAAGGTCAAATAATTTGAAAGTGAATTTAGGGAGAATTTATTTGTTTATCTGAATTTTTAAACCCCTGGATTTATTGGATAATTAGCTGTTTTTGACAGATTGCTTAATGTGGGATTTGGGAATAAGAGAGCCATCTACTGGAGAAAGTGAAGCATTGCAACACTATAGCCACAGTATATTCAAGGAAAGCTAAACTAATACACACAAAAGCCTAATACGCAGAATAGAAGCAACAACATCTGGAGAATGGCCTGACCTTGACTCTTGTTAGAAGATGAGTGGGAAAATTTGAGAACATTCAATAGTTTTTTTCCTTTTGAAGATTTATAAAAGGAAATGTGGAAACTTGGCAAGAAGATTTAATTAACCAACTGACATAAATCAGAACTTGGAAAAAAAATGGGAAGCGAGGAGAAACAAAAGTTAAAAACATACCAAGGAGACTTGCTTTGTTCAAGTTTGTTCCAATTAATATATTTTAAGCAACTCTAATCAATGAGAGGTGGAAGGTAACAAGTGGGAAAAAATCAAGAGCGGAAAAAAATACGAAGTTATTTGCCAGAGGGAAGAACAAAGAAAGCAAAGAGATCAAGATGTATCCCTCTTCTCTTCCTCTTCACTTTAGCTGAATCAGAATTTAAGGTGGACCAGAACTCTGAAATAAGAAGAACCTTAAAACGTGGGATTTAAACTATAATTAACTGTACAAGTAACTGTAATTTTGGAACTGGACACTATGGAAAGGTGGGAATTTGAAGAATTATGTGAAATCATAAAAATGTGCATAAATCATTAAAACTAAATTTAAATAGAATTTTGAAGTCAGAATCTGAGGAGAAGCAGGAAGTGAAGGAAGAAGAGGGGGAGGATAATAAAGTGGTAGAAATGGTGGAAAATAAAAAGCAGACAAAAGATCTCACTGAGTTTGATAGTAGCATAGGGAAAACTGAAGGGGGGATATGTTCCAATAAAGGGAAATAAAAAGCAGATAAAAGATTACACTGGGTTTGACAGCGGTTTGGGGAAAATTGAAGAGGGTGGACATGTCACAACAAAGAAAAGGGAGGAGACAGGAATAGAGAATTGGGACAAAAGACTTACTAGGAAATTAGATACCTAAAAATTGTTTATGTGGAGAATATAAAGTTGAGGTATGTGATTTACTTCTTTACCTGATAATTAAACTGAGTTGCTAACTGATTGAATATGAAAATGGAAAGATAATTAAATAAAGGTTAAAATATATGAAATATGGATACATATGAAACTGTCAAGTGGAGAATATAAAGTAGAGGTATGTGATTCACTCTTATACATGATAATTAAACTGAGTTGCTAATTGAATGAATATGACAATGGAAAGACAACTAAGTATAGGTTGAAATATACAAAATATGGATGCATATAGAATTTTTAAGAAGATGAACAAAGTAAGGTGTGTACTGCTTGTTATTCTACATAGTAGATTAAGGGAATTGTAATGAACATTGAACAGTAAGATTGTTATTTAAAGACAATTAAAGGTAAGCTAAGTCAAGATATGGAAAATGGAGGGGGAACATGAAACATACAGTGGAAAAATTTTGAGATTATAAAGACAGAACTAAACATTTGGGGTGTGTAATGATATATAACTATATAATGTTATTATGAGAACAGCTGGGAATTGTAACCGGGTCCACACATTCCAGCCAAAAAAGGATATATGTTAAAACTAAAGATGTTTATTGAAGTGAAATTATAAATACCATCAACATAAAATGGAGCTTGCTCAGAAGCTGAAATACACCAAGTAAATGAGATGAAGAGTGTGGAGTAGAGGAGAGAGGTAAGAGAAGAAGAGAGGGATAGGAGAGAGGGCAGGGGGGAGAGAAGGAGAGAAAGAAGGAATAGAAAGGGGAAAGAGGAGAAGGAGAGGGGAAGGGAAAGTAAAGAAGAGAAGGAAGACAGAGGGAAGAAAGGAGGTAGGGAGGAGAGAGAAGAAAGTGATGGATAGGGTACAAATATGGTGCATGGAGAGCAGAAGAGCCAATAATTATTTTTGGGGTTGATGGTAAGACAAATTGATGTAAATATTTAATAATATTTTTAAATGTTGATTATGTAACAGTATACATGTGGTTATTTGTTATGAAAATGAAAAAATAAAAAAACTTTAAAAAAAAGATGTATTCTATGACCCATAGGAAGCTGGTCGAGCTACGGAGTTATATTGACACCAACCTGGCGAGTGGTTTCATCCAGCCAGCCAAGTCCTGGGTTGCAGCCCCAGAGCTATTTAAGGAAAAAAAGATGGCTCAAGGAGGATCGGTGTGGATTTCCGTGGAATTAACACCTTGTGTGTGGAAAACATCCTGCCCTAAATTAAGGACATGCTAGCCCACCTAACAAAGGATAAGGTGTTCACCAAACTTGATCTACGGGAAGCGTACTACAGAGTCTGCATTAAAGAAGGGGATGACTGGAAGACAGTCTTTAACTGCCTGTTAGGCAGCTCCCAAATTAAAGTAATGCCGTTCAGATTACAAGAGGCCCCCAGGCTTCATGCAGCTAATCAACAAGGTGCTGCATGATCACGTCTACAAAGGAGTCCTAGTCTACTTGGACGACAGTCTCATTTTCAGTGAGACCCTAGAGGAACATGTCAAACTAGTGTGCCAAGTATTTAAGAAACTCCTTGCAGCTAAGCTCTACACGAAGCTATCAAAATGCAAGTTCCACAAGACCTCCCTAGACTACCTGGGCTACCGAGTGTCAAACGATGGGATCGAGATGGACCTGGGGAAAGTAAAAAGCATGTTAGGCTGACAACCCCCATGCACTCTCAAGCAGCTTCAGAGCTTCCTCCGGTTTGCCAACTTTTACAGAAGTTCATTCCCGCTTTTGCTGAGGTGGTACTCCCATTCAGGAAATCTAAAAATGAGAGGGGGGATCCCAAGCTGAAACCAAGTCAGCAATTGGCCTGGACCCTAGATTGCAAGCGAGCCTTTGAGGCTCTTAAAAAAACTATTCTCCGATCCTTAGGCACCCCTGAACCAGAGCAACCGTTCATGATCCAAGCGGATGCCAGCGATGTGGCCGTAGCGGAGGTGCTGTTGCAAGCGAACCCCCAGAGACAGCTGAAACACTGTGCTTATATCTCCAAAAAGCTCAACAAGGAGCACTGGGCGATGTGTGAGAAGGAAGCCTATGCCATCCACTGGGCTCTCCTCACCTGGCGACATTTTCTAGAAGGGAGTAAAAGTGCTATTTGAGGTCTGGATTGATCGCAAAAACTTGGAGGCACTAAAAATGGCCCGAAAGCTCTTCTCCAAGCGTCAGTTGAGCCCAATATTTTAAGAGATTCAACTTCGACTTAAAGTACATCCCAGGGGGGAAGACTCTATTCACTGACCATTTACAGCACTACCCTGACCCTGTTCCAGATTACTAGTAGCATGGAATTTACCCTCATGCCAGAGCTGCCAACGGAACCACCATCATCCATGTCTCTGAGTGACTGGATGGAGTCCTTGAAGTAGGGGTGAGAAAACACCAAGCGAGCCCTGGTGCAGGGGGCAAGAACCTATAAAGCACAAGCTGACAAGTGCCACTCCCCCCCCCCCAGTCCCCTTTCCGAGTTGACAAGATGTACCTATCAACAAAGTACTTGAGGTTGAGGTTGCCAAGTAGGAAGCTGGGACCCAAGTTTTGGGGTCCATTCCCAAGAGCGAAAGTGATAAACCCTGTAACTGTGCAGCTTAGCCTCTCACGCTTGCTAGGAAAAGAGCATCTGATTTTTCATAGCAGCTTGTTAAAGCTGGTGGTAGGCTCCCAGCTAAGGCCAGTCCATCAGGCAGCCCAAAGCTGATGGTAGTTCAAGGGGAGACCCACTATGAAGTGAAGAAAAATTTGGATTCACGTCTGCATCGGAGTTAATTCACTGGAAAGGCTACCCCGTCTGAGGCTACCTGGGTTAAGTGTTGGGATGTAAAAGTGGACAGATTAGTCAAGCAGTTTCACAATAAGATCCCAGGGAAACCTTGGAGCCGCCTGGAGGGGGCTGGGGAGGCTGAAAGGGATCAGTTTAATTCTCTATGATCTTTCTTTCCTTTTTTCAGGACATTCTCTTTACGTGAGGAGGGGCAGCCTGTCAACCTAGGAGCCATCTTTGAGCATCTTCAGAGTTGCCACAGCGAGGCTGGCTGGAGCTGTGGGAAGGAAAGGGGAAGTATAGATAGCTGAAGGGGATATGTAACCAAAATAACATTCTTTATCTTGGGAACCAAGGACACACTCACCAGCACCTAGAGAGGCATGGAGAGAAGCATCCAGATGGGGAGAGAGATCTAATTTGGGCATGTGATGGATGTGTGTAATGTGAGGAAGAACTTTGGACTTTGAACTGGGTGGGTAAAGTGCGGGGGACTTCAGATTCAGGTTTTCACCAGTTGTGCTAATAGAACAGGCCTAATAAATCTATACTTTAAGGACTTTTGATTTCCTATGAGCTGTTACTTGGCACCCTGACACCCATACTTATTTCAATAAGTGCATTGCCCACCATTTAATTTACCAGGGCTCTAGGCAGCCTGCACCGCCATCCGGGGGTTCGATGTGTAGCCTGAGAGGGATGGCAAGGCTCCTCTGGTGAACAAGGATTTGGCGCTCACCCTGGTCTCACCATCCTCTGCTGTAGACAATGGATCCCCCCAGCTCCCCCAGGGCCACCACAGGTGCCCCTGGCCATGAGCAATGTCGAGCTGGTAATGCCCACCCGGCCATGCCCACTCCAGCCACATCCCCCCATAAGCCTCAATGAAACACCCCTACGTACAACACTACGAGGTCAAACGGATTCTGGTCTCCAGATTATTCAAGGGGAAACTCCAATACCTAGTCTAGTTGAAGGGGCACCCAATGTCAGAAGCTAGATGGGTAAAAGCTCAAAATATGAGAGAAGATAGATTAATAGAGAAATTCCATAAGAAATATCACCAAAGGCCAAGGAACCCTTTCTAGAGGGCAAGGAAATCCTGAAGTAACTAACGTGTGTACTTATTATTTTCCACTTTTTAGAGGGGGGGAGGTCTGACTGTTAAACTTTGAAACTGGAAGCAGGAAACTTGCCCTCCTGTCACAGCCATCTTTTTGTTTCTCAGCTTGCCACAGACTATTGGGGGTTACTGGAAAGAGGTTTGGAATGCCAGCCTAGACAGTAAGAAATCATTCTGTGGGAATCAAGTCATCTCAACAGATGTTTGGCAAGAGCTTGAAAGAATTGCCATAGTGACAACAGAACATCTAATTGGACAATGTGACCTGGTCAAAGGGGGGAAAGAAAGAATTCATTTTTTAATTAGGCGAAAACAGCAGGAACTCGTTTTGCTCCATGCATGCCAAAATGATGTATTCAATAAAGTTATGTTTAAAGAGATCTTATTGTGTTGAATTGCTGGCTTGATTGGGTTCGTCAGTAGGAACCTTGACACATACAGCCATAAATAATGACAGATAAGAATAAATATATTCTCTTGCTATTAGTAACAAAACATCAATGTTTCAATCAAGACATTATCCCCTATTCCAAAAATATTTCACATTTATCATTCACTCATTTACAAGATTTAAAAGCCACTGATGTAGAACAGCATACAATTCCCTTTGCTCCCCCAAAACAAAATGGCAATTGAAATCAAACCAAAAAACCCAGTGGTTCAAAAATGTTAAACCTCCTGCATATTTAAAATAGTATTAGCTGTATTAAAATAGAGTTAGCTCTATTTTAATAACATCCTGCATATATATACAATTCATACCATTAGCTCACATCACCAGTATTGATAATAGATCAACAGAAAAAATTGGCTTTATATATTAAAAGGAAAGTGTATAACAAATAATTGAACTTATTTCTATATACTTTCCAGAAACAAATACTTTTATGAGAAAACTATACAATGCTATAGATAAAATATATACCTGATAGCATTCTCCTTTTATATTGTCCAAGACATCTCCACATGTTTTACGCATGTATTTTCGACACCCATCAATCACCATTTGGTCAATGTTTTTGATACCAATAAGAATGAAATAACTCATTTTGTTGTTATTATAACATTGTTCATAATGTTCTTTGTTTCTGCCTTGAAAAGCCTAAATTTTATAATGAACAAAGCACTAAAACATTAAAAAGTTGACAGTTTTCTGGAGCCAAATAGATTAATTGAAAATATTCTTAGAAATGCAAATATATTTATTATAATTCTTTGACATATGACCTAATATTAATCGGAGTATTTTATCCAATTGTATCATCCATCCTTAGAACTGAGCCACTGGCAGATATGATGGTCATTCCTGTAGATTCTCTCTCCTTGCCAGATAGAATAAAACAGGGGTCCCCAACCCCGGGCTTGGTAGCAGGTTGCGGAAGGGGTGGGTGACTCGTTCAAATGGAACCATCCCCTCTCCCCACCATCACGCTGCTAGTGCGCAAAGCCAGAAAGGTTGGGGATTACTGGAGTAAAGCAACCTTTAGTTGCCTGAACAAAACTCTATTATAGTATATTTGTTACATAATATTTAGTCAAGATTAAAGATGTTATCTTACACACAAAAAATGTATGATTATCAGAAATTTTTAAGTACAATTTTAAAAGTAGCAAGAAATCTTCAATTGAATTATAAAATGTTATACAATTTGAACCAGATAAAAAGTAATAGCCAAAGCTTTAAAGCATGCTCTAAGCTAAGGAATCAAGATAAATAATAAACCAATAGCACAGGTCTGCGACTAAAAAGCTGTTTGAATATTTTCATCTAATTTTCATGTATTTTGGTGTGCTGAAAACAAATAAAATATTGACAAAACTCC